AGCTTTTGAGTTTTAAATTTTCTCCAACTCCCTCTCCAAGACAGCATAGAATCTAATATAGGCTCTACACGTACATTCCTATTAAACATACTTTCACATTAGTGATGTTGTAAGGAAGAATTAGAACCAATAGGAGGAACCACCAGAAAGAGGAAACAAAACAAAACAGAAGAAAAAAAAAGAGCAAATAGTCTGCTTCGATTTGCATTCAAACTCCATAGTTCTTTCTTTGGATGTGGATAGCATTTTCCATCACGAGACTTTTGGAGCTATCTTAGGTCCTTGCGTTGCTGAGAAGGGCTAAGTCTATCAAAGTCAGTCATTGCACAAAGTGGCTGTTACTGTGTACAACGTTCTCTTGGTTCTGCTCACTTCACTCAGCATCAGCCCATACAAATCTTTCTAGGTTTTTCTGAAATCTGCCTGCTCATCTTTTTTTTTTTTTTTTTTTTTTTTGGTGAGGCAATCGGGTTTAAGTGACTTGCCCAGGGTCACACAGCTAGTAAGTGTCAAGTGTTTGGTCTGAGGCCAGATTTGAACTCAGGTCCTCCTGACTTCAGGGCCAGTGCTCTATCCACTGTGCCACCTAGCTGCTCCCTGCTCATCATTTCTTATAGCACAATAGTATTCCATTACATTCATATACCACAACTTGTTCAGCCATTCCCCAGTGGATGGGCATCCTCTCAATTTCCAATTCTTTGCCACCACAAAAAGAGCTGCTATAAATATTTTTGTTCATGTGGGTCCTTTTCCCATTTGTATGATCTCTCTGGGATATAGCCCTAGAAGTGCTATTGCTGGGTCAAAGGGTATGCACATTTTTATAGCCCTTTGGGTGTAGTGCCAAATTGCTCTCCAAAATGGTTGGATCATTTCACAGGGAGTTGTTTTTTAGAAACAATCACTGAACCACGAGAGCCGATGCAGTCACTGTGTGAGTGCAGAGAGGGCGAGAAGAGGGCCTGGTTCAGAGCCTCGGGAGACTCCAGGCAGTAGAGGGCAAGACTTAGATAAGGGTATGGAAAGGGGGATCAATGTGGGGGAGCTGGCCAGAGGGAGGGGAGCCTCAGCAGAGGAAAGCCCAGAGTGGAGGGATGCATTTCACTGCAGAGAGGTCAGGAAGGATGAGAAGCTGGCCAAGGCCAATGAGTTTAGCAATCACTGGCAACCTTGGAGAAAGCAACTTGAAGTGAGTGATGGGGTCAGAAGTCAGACTTTCACATTGGTGAGGAGGTGAGAAATGAGAGCTAGTGAATTCAGACAGCCTTTGCAGGGCTTGGGAGGAGAGACAGAGGGTGGTCGCTTATGGAGGTGGTGGAGTCAAGAGAAGGCTTGTAGGGGAAAGAAGGCCTGTGTGTACAGGTAATGAGGAAGAGGCCGGGGAGACTGAAGGTTAGACAGGAGGGACACGATTAAAGGGCCATGTGCCCACAGCATAGAGAAGGGAATAGGATCAAGGGCAAAGGAGAAAGGTTGTTGACCTTGGCTGGGGAACAAAGGAGGAGAGAGTGGGAGATCATGCAGAAGGGTCCAAGATATATGGCCTAATGGACCAGCTCTACGGAGCTGTCCGTCCTCCAGCATATTGTAGTCTGAGGAGTCAGCATTCTTTTTAAATGTTTTATTGATTTTTCACACAACACCCATAGACCCTTCTCTTGTGACAGAGCAGTTCAGTAAAGCAAAACAGACTGACCCATTGATCATGTCCAGTAACTTGGGCCTCCTTCTGCATCTGTGGCTGCCCCTGTTTTACTGAGAGGAGGGAGGCAGCTGCCTCCTCCTGAGCTCAGATTGGTCAGTGGTTTGAGATGAGTTCAGT